GAATTTCAAATCACCTGAGCAACAGAAGAAAATGAGAAGTTGCGCATCAAAACTAGGAACTTAGTTAGAATCCAGCATTAAGAAGACAATTAGTTGCCAGGCGGTGGTGGTGCTCGCCTTTAATCCCAGCACTTGGGAGGCAGAGGCAGGCGGATCTCTGTGAGTTCAAGGCCCGCCTGGGCTACAGAGTGAGTTCCAGGAAAGGCGCAAAGCTACACAGGGAAACCCTGTCTGGGGGTGGGGTGGGGGAGAAGACAATTAATTAATCGGTACAGACTGAGGATGACCTGTAATTGCCAGCTCAGGCCAACATTTGCCAGACTATGACATCCTGAAATGGTTGGTTTTCCCCCCATGCTCCTTCAATAAACAAAATGCTGAGACTAAAGCAGAGATTAGCATACCTTACCGTCACGTGACTCAGAAGCATGAGCTACCCCTTCAGGAAGAAAACGGCTTTTGTTAAATTTTGTTAAACTACAGACTTGAAGTAATCTTTAAATTTCAGAACTTTCCCAAAAATATTATTGTCCAATGTTCATAGTAATAAATGTGTGAATTATTTTCATTTTCCACAGTCTGCCACATCTCTCAGATTTGGAAGAGGATCTAGTTTTATTTGCTTCCCTTTCAAACGTTTCTTTTCTTTTTTTCCTTTTTAAAGGGCTGGAGAGATGGCTCAGAGATTGAGAGCTGCAGCTGCTCTTGCAGAGGATGCAGGTTCGGTTCCCAGCACCGACATGGCAGCTCACAGCCATCTGTGACTCCCGTTCTAGGGAACCTAATGCCCTATTCTGACTTTCACAGACACAGGCACACACACACCAAAACCACCTATATGTGGGCAAAACACTCACATGCATAAAATAAAAGTAGGTAGGGGTTGGGGATTCAGCTCAGTGGTAGAGCGCTTGCCAATCAAGCGCAAGGCCCTGGGTTCGGGCCTCAGCTCCGGGGTGGGGGGTGGGGTGGGAGAAGGAAAATAAGAGTAAGTAAATTGTAAAAGTTTAAAAAAAGAACTTCCTGGAATGTTGGCCACTGGTAGACTGTCCATGAGCCAGGGATGGCCCTACATCTATGCACTCACTAGTGGGCATCATTAGTTGGACTCAGTGAGTTAAAAAAGAAGAGGAGGAGGAGGAGGAGAAGGCATGAAGTTGGATGGAAGACAGGGAACAAAATACTAAGAGTTGGATGGAGGCAATGTGGGTAGATATGATCAAAATAGATTGAATACATGTTTGAAATTCTCAAAGAATAAAATCTACATACATATGTTATGTGTAGAATGGGAGGGTGTCTTGGTCAGGGTCTACTGCTATGATGAAACACCATGACCAAAAGCAAGTTGGGAAGCCGGGCGGTGGTGGCGCATGCCTTTAATCCCAGCACTCGGGAGGCAGAGCCAGGTGGATCTTGGTGAGTCCGAGGCCAGCCTGGTCTACAGAGCGAGATTCAGGAAAGGCGCAAAGCTACACAGGAAACCCTGTCTCAAAAAACCAAAAAAAAAAAAAGCAAGTTGGGAAGGAAAGCAGAAAAGGGTTTATTTGGCTTACACTTCCACGTCTTAGTCCATCATTGAAGGAAGTCAGGACAGGAACTCAAGCAGGGCAGGAACCTGGAGGCAGGAGCTGATGCAGAGGCCATGGAGGGGTGCTGCTCACTGGCTTGCTCCCCATGGCTTGCTCAGCCTGCTTTCTTATAGAACCCAGGACCACCGATGGTCCCACCCACCAAGGGCTGGACCCTCCCCCATCAATCACTAATTGACAAAATGGCCTCCAGCCTGATGCTAAGGAGGCATCTTCTCAGTTGAGGCTCCCTTTTCTCCGTTGACAACACCTTGTCTCAAGCTGAAACCAAACTAGCCCGCACAGAGCCTGTGTGCAGGTGTGTTTGGCTGTGTGAGGACAGATGTCCGCTTCCCGGGAGTCCTTCCTCCAGAACCATCTCACTTGTTCATTTGGTTTTAGACAGGGTCTTTCTACATAGTCCTGGCTGCTCTGGATCTCACTGTCAAACAGGCTGGCCTTGAACTCACAGAGATCCACCTGCCTCTGCCTCGCGAGTACTGGGAATAAAGGCCTGTGCCACCATGCCCGGCTCTCTCACTGTTTTGAAGGCAGGGCTCTCACTGGGACTGGGCCTCACCCTAATAGGCTAGACTGGCAGGCCAGCCCCAGGGATCCTCCCGCCTCTGCTTCCCCAGTGCTGGGATTGTAAGCACCCACGACCTCACACTTTTTTTTTTTTTCTCACGTGGTGCTGGTATCGAACTCAGGTATCGAACTTATGCTTGCGTGGCAAGCCCTTTACCAGCCAAGCTGCCTCCCCAGTCTGAATTTGAAGTAATACAAAGGACGTACTTGGACCGTCTCTGCTGGAAACACAGAGATATCGTCAGGTTTAAAGGCTCTTCAAGTCGACTAGGAGCAACCAATTCTTTCTCCGTTTTTGGAGTTTCCTCACGATTCACTGCAGCACAGTGTGTGTTTAAAGCATACTTCTAATAATTTTTTTTAATCATTTGTTTTTTTTTTTGTTTTTTGTTTTTTTTTTTTGTTTTTTTTGGTTTTTCGAGACAGGATTTCTCTGTGTAGCTTTGCGCCTTTCCCTTTTAATCCCAGCACTCGGGAGGCAGAGCCAGGCTGATCTCTGTGAGTTCGAGGCCAGCCTGGTCTATAAAGCATACTTCTAAAATCACACTCTGCCGGACGTCGGTGAACTGCTTTGAAAGAGAGAGTTTAGGGGGAATCGAAGGACCGGGGTGACATGCCTACAGATGACCGTTCTTTGCGTCCCGTGAGGTGCCGTGCAAGTGACAACATAATACAGTGCGATGGAAAGGGGACAGTAATTTGGATCTTTTTTTTTTTTAATCACTGTGTCCTTGCATGGGGGCTGATAAGATTTCGGGGGCCCAGCAAGATAGTGTAAGGGGTTAAAGCATTTGCTCTGCAAGCCTGATGATCTGAGTGTGAGCCCCAGAACTCACAGTGGAAAAAGAAAACTGATCCCACTCCACACAGTGTATCTTCTGACCTTCACATGTACACTCACTGTAACATGTATGTATACACGCACACATACACACCATTAAAAAAAAAGGACTTTTGTTTGTTTGTTTGTTTGTTTGTTTGTTTGTTTGTTTTGGTTTTTTCGAGACAGGGTTTCTCTGTGTAGCTTTGCGCCTTTCCTGGAACTCACTTGGTAGCCCAGGCTGGCCTCAAACTCACAGAGATCCGCCTGCCTTTGCCTCCCGAGTGCTGGGATTAAAGGCGTGTGCCACCACCGCCCGGCTGTTTGGTTTGTTTTGAGATAATGTCTTACCCCATAGCTCCAGAATTCGCTATGTAGCCCAGGCTAGCCTCAAGCTCACAGCTGAATCCTCCTGCTTCAGCTTCCCACGTGTGTGCAATGCCTGGCTTAAGATCTCTTTTTCTCTTCTTCACACTCCCAGCCCCCCAGGGTGAGGATAAAGGGGCAGCGACCAGCTGCTTGTTCAGAAGACAGTCAGTACGACGTACGACGGGTCCATACCCAACCATTCATCACCAATGGTTTTCTCGTGTTCACAAAGCCGAAGCAGCCTGAGAGAAGCCAGAGACAAGCCAGGCTTCTCAAAACCCTTTTGTCTTTCTTCATCAGAATGACCCCAGAGATTGTAGCCCAAGGCGACGATGCTGAAATCAAAATGGGAAGAAGAAGGAACAACTCCAAAAAGGAGTTTTTTTTTTTTTTTAATTTCCCCAGCCAGCAGTGTCTTTTATTAGTGTGACAAATTAACAGGTTGAGAATTAAGGGCTGCATTTTCGGGTGCACATTCATCACAAGAGAGACTTTCCCCCCCTCCCCTAAGCAATTAAGTCTCAGAGTTCTGGGGTGTCAGGATCGCCCAACCCAGGGGACCAGGAACAGCAATTGAACTGTTAAACCCCCAAAGGGCCTGAGAGGGAAGAGGTGGAAGCAGAGGCTGAGACAGAGAGCTCTTCATTTCTCCAAAGAGATGTTGAACAGCCAGGAAGGGCAGGACAGTGGACCAGAGAGGCGCTGTCAGTATCCAGGGGCTTACCAACGGACACTGGCAGGTAACTTGCCCAGAGACCCACCCAATTCACAGACAGATCCTGGGACTCGGACCCCACTTCTAACAAGTTCCCAGTCACTCTAACTCACATTCTATCTCTATTTAGCTCTCAGAGAAGTTCAAACTAATTGTGTGGTATCAGAGAGACGATAAATGTTCTAGAGTGTCATAAGTCTGAGTTACAAGCTGAGAGAAAAATAAATAAAAGTGCTGTTAATATTCAGGTGTGTGTGTGTGTGTGTGTGTGTGTGTGTGTGTGTGAATCAGCTGTATATGATTGTAACGTGACACCTGAGATAATCAATTTACAAAGAGACGTTTCCTTGGTCCACAGTCTTACAGGTGTCCATCTGTGGTAGGCTAGTTTCTCTGCTTTTGAGTCTGTGGTGAGGGAGAACATCATGGCTGGAGCACGTACGTGGTGGAAGAACCTATTCACTCCATGGTAGACAGGAAGTGAAGAGAGACAGGAAGAGCCTGGGCTCCCATTATCTCCTTCAAGGGCATGCCTACCAATGACCTAACGACCTCCCACCAAGTCCCACCTCTTGAGAGTGCCAAGCTGGAGACCAAACTAAACACACAGGCCATGCAGCCATTTGCAGATCTGAAATGTACCAACCAACAAAGGGCGTCTCTTCCAACAGACTGCAGAAAGCACTCACGGACCGGCGGCCCTCTTCCAACCTTTTGCGCCAGTTTCTCTACAACTTCTGGAACAACTTCAAGGAAAAGAAGAGAAAAAAAAACTGGGCCCTCGGTCCCACCAGTCACCTCTGACCCATGTTCATGTAAAGGTGAGAAAGCCTGCACGCACGCACTCACCCCACCCCTACACACACACACACACACACACACACACACACACACACACACACACACTGTGACTATAATGAAATGCTTGGCTCACATATGACGCAAAGAGATTTATTTATTTTATTTATTTATTTATTTATTTACTTTTTGCAAAGAGATTTATTTAGCTCGCAGTTCTGGAGGCCAAGAATCCACCATTGATCCCATCATTGGACTCCTGGTGAGGATAAATGGTAATGGCATCCTGGTGGGAGAGAAAGCCAGGCAGAATCAGAAGTCAAACCTCTTTCGTAATAACTCCACGAGACAACAATTAGCCTCCTGTATGAGGTGATACCAACCCTACCTAGAGAACCACATTGAAAGAAGGTGGGAAGCTGGGTGGCAGGTGGTGGCGCACGCCTTTAATCCCAGCACTCGGGAGGCAGAGCCAGGTTCTGTGAGTTCGAGGACAGCCTGGTCTACAGAGTGAGATCCAGCACAGGCACCAAAACTACATGGAGAAACCCTGTCTCGAAAAAAAAAAGAAAGAAGGAAGGGAGGGAGGGAGAGAGAGAGAGAGAGAGAGAGAGAGAGAGAGAGAGAGAGAGAGAGAGAGGAAGGAAGGAAGGAAGGAAGGAAGGAAGGA